GATGGTGCGCGCCCCCCTTTGCCTTGTGTCTCTGCGTTCGGACGCGTGTTCTGTTCCATCCTCTCCTAATGGCCTCTTTTCCCACGTAATATATGTGGGGACGTATCTGAACAACTGAGCACTTCAATTAATTGCAAGGGGAAGGTAGATTAAACAGAATGGTGCTCATTTTTTAATTAAAATGCCCCCGTAACTGTGTTTTATAGAACTTTGAGCGCTAAGCTCTCAGTCTCCTGAAATGTGTGTGTGTACATATGTGTTTATACATATATATATATATATATATAAATATATATGCACACAAACACGCAGATCTAGATGTACGTGTGTGGCTATGCGGCTGTATCCAGGCACACCCGTATATTTGCACGTGTGTGTGTGCAGCAGTAGAGGAACTCGTGCCCGGTAGAAGGAATCCCATGTGCAAGCCGGGCGCTTAGGAAGCCCTGTCTCAGCCAGGGGCATTCACGTTGCTGGCTGTTTTGGCAGATAAGTCGTCGATAGCTGGCTCGGAAGAGGCCGAACCTCTCGCTCCCCCCATCAAGCCCATCAAGCCGGTGACCCGCAACAAGGCGCAGCAGGAGCCCCCGGTGAAGAAGGGCCGCCGCTCGCGGCGCTGCGGGCAGTGCTCGGGCTGCCAGGTCCCCGAGGACTGCGGCGTCTGCACCAACTGTCTGGACAAGCCCAAGTTCGGCGGGCGCAACATAAAGAAGCAGTGCTGCAAGTGAGTGTGTCTGCGAGGCCTTCGGGAACGCGGCGCGGGCTAAGATTGGATCTAAGAGACATGGGGAGACAGGCAGAGTCTGAGGAAGCTTCCCGAGACCTCTCAAATGCCAGCGCCTAAGAAATGCGCTCGATGGGGGCGTTTCCAGTGCAACACGGGGTTTGCACTGGTGGTTTCATTAACCTGAACACTGCGGAGTGTGGCAAACCGAGAGGAGGATGCAAGGGAAAACAAAAAGCTTCTTTCTTTTTTTTTTTATTATTTTTTTCTTCTTTTTTAACTTAAAAATGTTTGGAAAAGGCTGTTGGGAATGTTGATTGATTGGTGGGATTTTTCTTCTCATTTTTCACTGGCACAACACTTTTTCTTCGCAGAATGAGGAAATGCCAGAACCTGCAGTGGATGCCATCCAAAGCGTATCTTCAGAAGCAAGCAAAAGGTAGGCTGAAGGACTTCCCTCCTCGAGTGCAGCGTTGGAGAGACAGATCTTGTATCTCAAACGTTTCTCTTCGCACCGTCAGTGCTGACCTCCTGCAGGTTACCGTGGCCGGGATCAGGTGGTGGCTCCAAACTCCTGGAAATCCGCCATATGGAACCTGCCTTCTCTTTTGTGCGCTTAAGCCGTGAGGGTGCTTTACTGCAGAAGCATTTTGCTTCCTGATCTGTCAGAGTAGAGGCCCAAACTGTTGGTATAGAGATGGGAACGGGAGTCAAGTGCATTAGTTTTACTGACAAAACTGTTTTTCTTCTGCCGTACTGATTTTTCCTTCACACGAAGGAACAACAACAACATCAATATGCCTCCTTCTTTACCTAAAAGTGCTGTGTGTTGTTGGAAGTGATGCAGTTACATCCGTGTGACCATATTGATGCTTTTCTTCCTAGCTGCAAAAAAGAAAGAGAAGAAATCCAAGGCAAACGAGAAGAAAGAAAGCCACTCTGGGAAGAACCAGCTGGACTCGGGGCAGAAGCCGGCTGCGCCGCCGGCCGTGGCCAGAGAGGAGGCTGCGGCGAGGGCAGCTGCCGCCCGCCCCGCCGCCCAGCGCCGGCCCCGCCAAGAAGGAGGCACCCAAACCCGCCGCTGCTCAGCCCAAGAAAAAGCAGCCCCCGCAGCCAGAAACAGGTAAATGTGCCCCTCTGCCTTCCGTGTGCTTGCATCGAATAAGTACAGCTGCAGATGAGGTAAACACTGCTGAAAAGTGGGGTTTTAAAAGGGTAAGTGCTTTACGACCTGCTGAAATTACAGCAAGTTATTTGAGGGGACTTCACCTAGAATTGTGGTCCTTCTGTTGAACTATCCTGCACATACGCAGGTGGCTGAGAGGATGCCCATCTTTAATATGATTTTTAGTCGTGCAGTCGTGGCAATCTTAACTAGTCGTTGCAATAGCAATAAGCTTCTTATTGCCAGTGTGCACGTGCGGTACAATCACGTCATCTCTCACTACTAAAGCATGGCCTGGTATTGTGTGGGGTGCATAACAGAATGAACAGCAACACGAGAGGCAGCTCCAGCAGTTCAGTGTCTAGGCCCCTGAGACACCTGGGGTTTTAGCAGGGCAAGTCCCACGTTCTGTCTTGAGGAGAGGTTCAAGTCACAGCTGGTGATGTGCAGTCGCGCAAGGGCGAAGGGAAGTTCCAAGCTAACATTCATCTCGCGCTACGAGATTTGTGTAGTGCTTTTTCTCTCTGCAGGTGGTTGCTAGTCACTTGAATTACTCACTCCTTGCCCTCTCCCTAGGCACAGAACAAAGCAAACAGAAGAAAATTGCTCCTCGTCCAACTTTCCCTGTGAAACAGAAACCTAAAGAAAAGGTGAATACTATTTGGTGTGTTGTGTTGCGTTCCTTTGCACTCAATACATCTCAAGAGGCCGAAACTTGTGTGAGTTGTAGCTGTCTGGGTAGACGTGTATCATCCTTACTGACCTTTTGGCAATTCTTTGTGCTCAAAACTTCTTAATTCTGTGCTGGTTTTTTTTTGTTGGTGGTGGTGGGGTTCTCTTGCCCGTGAATTTTCTGAAGCATTTCCTGCGGTTTATTGTCCAAGAGGAATGCCTGGGGTTGGGATTAACGGAGGCTGCTTTTCGCTTGCCTAGGAAAAGCCCCCTCCTCTCAGCAAGCCGGAAAGCAGCACGCTCAATTTGCTCAGCACTCTGACTAATGGAAGCAGTTCCAAGCAAAAGGCACCTACAGACGGAGTCCACAGGATCCGGGTGGATTTCAAGGTAGAGGACCGAATGTTTTAAGTATTTCAGTATTAGCTGACCCTAAGAGCTGCAGTGTCCCTCAAGAGTGCTGAGAGAGACCTCTGAGTTTGCGTGTCTGGTCCCCTTCAGAGAGAGCTGTAAGTAGGGGCCTTCATGACACGTCATCAGTTTGGTTATTTTTAGAAGTTTGTTCTGCCTTTTTTTTCTTACGATTAGAGTACTGGACGAAGAGACAATTAAACCTTTAAAACCTTAACCCTCACAGTGAGGATGAGCAAGCATTTGAGGTTTACGAAGAATTATTCCATTAAGATGGAACTATAAAACCTTACCAGCACTTGAGTCAACAAGATTTGGGGAAAATGTTAGTAATTTGTAATTCACAATGTTTTGGGTATATTTGGGGTGTTTAAACTGATCGAATCATGTACTTTTCTGAGCCAGAGCTGTTGAAATAATAAAATTTTATACTTTCCTATTTGAATTTTTCAGTCCCTCTATAAGGTTTACTACTGGAGACTATAGCGAGAGCTCCAAAGTGTTTTTACGAATACAGAGTTTTAATAAAGACTAATTATTCTGACAATTCATTTTTAGTAGTAATTCTGCACTCGTGGAAAGCCTTGTCTTGCTCGTTAAGGCTGCTTTCTGCAGAGCCAAGGGTAGTCTATTACTGAGCTCGTTTGCCAAGAATAGTGGTAAGATGTGACTCTCTTGACGTGCGTTGCAAAGCAGACCAAGGTAGCAGTGAAAATACCGTGGGTTTTGGCGCACGTAGCGGCAGGCCGAGCCCGCGCGCAGCGGCAGCGCGAGCGCGTTGTACTGATGCTGCCTCTCTCTGTTCTGCATGCTGACGTGTCCTTTTGTGCTTTCAGGAGGACTGTGAAGTGGAGAATGTTTGGGAGATGGGGGGGTTAGGCATCGTCACCTCGGTACCTATTACTCCCAGGGTGGTCTGTTTTCTCTGTGCCAGCAGTGGACATGTGGAGGTAAAGCACTGTGTTCTGCTGTCGATGACTTGCAATTGTGTGCCATGTTACAGAACGAACAACGCCCTCGTGCAATTCCCCTAATCCAGAGGAAATTGGGGGAAAAATAAAGGGGGGGGGCGGGTTACGATTTTTAATGTGAGCACCGTCGCGTGCGGGTCCGTTTGGACCCGGAGCCCTTCCCTTGTCAGTCCCGCCGCTCCCTGCGTGGTGGCTGCTCGGTGCCTGCTCTTGGTAGCCACGTGCCCTGCTGGGTACCCGGCCGCAGCGCGTACCCGTGCCGGAAAATGCCCGGGGTTGCCGCCGAGGTGGAGCGGAGGCACGAGGCCGCGCTCGGGGCTCGAGGAGAGCGGCCGAGTGGCTAAGCGCCGCCTCCCTGTCTTGCAGTTTGTGTATTGCCAGGTGTGCTGCGAGCCCTTCCACAAGTTCTGCCTGGAGGAGAGCGAGCGGCCCTTGGAGGAGCAGCTGGAGAACTGGTGCTGCCGCCGCTGCAAGTTCTGCCACGTGTGCGGGAGACAGCACCAGGCCACCAAGGTACCCCGGGCGGCACGCGGGGGCCTTGTCCTGCCGGGACGCGCGGGCCGGGGGCAGCGGGAGACACGGGCTGGGAAGCAGCGGGAAGCAGGAGCTCTGCCCCACGCTGCTGGGCTGAAGTCTGTCATCTCGAGTGCCTCGGCTGCAGCGCTCCCCTGTAGCCCCCCTTAGTCTCACCTGGCCAGGATTGGGCATCGCTCCCTTGCGGGTTCTCATCAAACGTATTTTTTCCCACTGTTTTTGCAGCAGTTGCTGGAGTGTAACAAGTGCCGAAACAGCTATCACCCTGAGTGCCTGGGCCCAAACTACCCCACAAAACCCACCAAGAAGAAGAAGGTTTGGGTGAGGCTTCTGGATTTCTTTCTTTTGCCCTCGCGAAATAACAAAAAGTGGGAAAGGTATCGTTACGAGTAAGGAATGGAAGCCAGTGGGCAAAGCCAAGTGGCTCCTGCCAAATGTGTCTCTCTTTCCAGATATGTACCAAGTGTGTTCGCTGCAAGAGCTGTGGATCGACAACCCCAGGCAAAGGGTGGGATGCGCAGTGGTCGCACGACTTCTCGCTGTGTCATGATTGTGCCAAACTCTTCGCTAAAGGTACCGAACTCTGGGGTTACTTAGGGCAGGGATGCACTTACTCAGGTGTCTCCTGATGGGACAGCCCCAGAGAAGGATGAAATGAGGCCCTACCAGCTTGTCCACGGTCTAAACAGAAACATGCAGCCCACTGTTGTGCTCAAGACTCAGAGCCTGTATGACAAAAACCTGCGTGGAAACCCAATGCTAAAGTTTTACGCTACCAAAGTCGCTGCTGTTTTATTGACTGAGTTTGAGATCTCCAGAATTTCAGCGCTGTCAAATACATTAGCCATTATTAGAGACCTGTTGGTGCTGAGCATTGGGTAGCAGCTGAGAAACTGATGTTCTACACGAATCTTGACTTTGATTTATTACTTTAAACTAGTAATTCATGTTTTTATCAGCTGAAGTGATGATTAAAAAGCCGTCTTGTTTGCAGGAAACTTCTGTCCTCTCTGTGACAAGTGTTATGATGATGATGACTATGAGAGCAAGATGATGCAGTGTGGCAAATGTGACCGCTGGGTGCACTCGAAATGCGAAAACCTTTCAGGTAAGGCCAGCAAGGGCACGAAATAGGGGTGTTTCCCTGGATCCATCTGTGAGGAAGTACTTCAGATGGTTATTCTCCGGTTGGGCTTCCTTTCTGTTTTGCCTGCAGACGAGATGTACGAGATCCTGTCGAACCTGCCCGAGAGCGTGGCGTACACCTGCATTAACTGCACGGAGCAGCACCCCGCGGAGTGGCGCCTGGCGCTGGAGAAGGAGCTGCAGGCGTCGCTGCGGCAGGTGCTCACAGCCCTGCTCAACTCCCGCACCACCAGCCACTTGCTGCGTTACAGGCAGGGGGGGCTAGGGCCCCCCTTCTGTGGGCGCTCCCCGG